CAATTTTATTAATATACTCTAAAATCCATAAGAAGCACAAAACCATAAAAATTTGATAATTATCGATAGAGTCGTCACTTTAAGGGCCAATCAACTCAATTAGCCAATATCCAAAAATAGTTTACCAACTTATACATTACCAGACATATTCATACAATTAATAAAAAATATAAGCAAAATTTTAACATGTATTTCATAATTAAACGACTCTACCTTCTAACAAAATATAATTTTCGGGAAATAAATTTATAGTAATCAAAGTAGACTGTTTGAATGAAAATAAACATTATTGCTATAACAATCGAGTTGATATTTAGGGATTTGTACACCAATATATCAAGATAAAATTATCAATGCAACTTAATACATCATTATGAATATTAAAATAGATCAACTAAAGTATGTATGGAAAATAACTAAATAATAAAGGAAAAACTGACAACCTGCAAATGGAAATGTATGTTTATCAAAGATAACACTCTTAAAATAGAAATTTATGTTTATCCTTAAATAAATAAATATTACTTGCGTCAAGTCAGCACAAAACTTCAGCGCTATTTGAGATTCAACCATGACATTAAATAAAACTCAACTAGAAGGTCCTATGCAATATGAATCCTAAATTAATATTTAAAATAAAATAAATGATCAAATATGTGAAAACATGAGTTCTATTTTTCTCAAACTTAATTAAATTAAATATTAAATGAATGCATTGAATATCATTGTCAAACTTGTTCAATATAAATTACTCCAAAATTGTCATACTCTTATTATTATTATTATTATTGTTGTTGTTGTTGTTGTTGTTGTTGTTGTTGTTGTTATTATTATTAACATAAAACATTAATCTACCATTATAAATTATTTTATAATCTTCTCAAAATTCATAATAGCATGATCCAAACATAAAGAGTAGATAGCAATGAATTAATTAATATAAAATATGTTTAATAAGAAGTTAAAACTTTTCATATCAAATCAAGCAAAAGGACAGGGAATGAATTATGTCTCAAAGAAAGATAAAAGGGACAGAGAAGTAGTCTACAAGGAAAAGGAAAAAAAAAACTAAGAAAGACAAGAAGATGAAGATGAGAGCTCACTTTTATTGAGTGGCTCTTAGTCATGGAGATGGAGGAACAATAAACAAGGATTTGGTTGAAAGAATTTTCTTGGCCGTGAAACTAAAGAAAGAGGGAGATGATGTGGGGTTATTATGAAAGTTGTGGCTAGTTGGATTCACATCTTAATGCTTGGATTATGTTATTACAAGGTGACTATGGTCTAGTAAAATTGTCCTATGCCGGCCAAGTTGGATGAACTTATTGCCGCCTGGCAGTGTCACCCGAAGTTAGTCAATGCAGATTCCTGCAATAATCTAGAAATAGTTATTCATCTTATCTCTTGTCCTATTGCGCCTTAAACCACCTTCAAACAATGTACACCTACAAAAAGTTTCTCATTAATTAAGGACTCTTTCCAAAATCCTTGGAACTTGATACCAAGTGAAAATTGTATGATCCCATTGGTTTATATGATCCTTAAAATAAGGAAAAAATGAAATTTAAATTTAATAAGACCAAAATAACCTTTTCTCGCATTTGTTTCAATGAAACACCTAATAAATATATATATATTTATTTTGACTACTATAAACTATTTTACATTCTGAAAATTTGACAATAGTTTTCTTATAACACTTTAACAAATCTGGTTATGAAAATCTAAAATCTAAACTTGCATCCAAACATTGTTACATGGAGAATAATATAATTCTCAGATGGTTGGTTAAACTTTGTTTATGTTACACTAAAAATTTCACCCCATTAAGGATTCATGATTTAAACATAAATCCTTCAAACCTAGCAAAATTGACAATAATTAAAAAAAAATTACAAACAGTAAAATATGATTATTCCAAAAATTCTTGATTTTTGAAGCTCTGCTAGCCAAGTAGATGTTGTGGGGGGAAAGGTTTACTGATGCTGCAGTCTTCTGCAGCTTCTGTTTGGTTGATCGCTTCTGCAACCACAATTTTTCTCGCCCATCAAGCTGCTCTGGTTTTTTTATATATATATATATATATATATATATATATATAATATAGATAGATATAGGAAATATGATTTTGAGCTTATTCTTATGGAAATTCCCTATGTCCTTCTTATTTCTATAGCACCTCTTCAGCTTCAATTATATATCTTCAAAAAAGCACTTTCGAACTTCAAGAGCACAATTTGAGAGTATAAGATTGTTTTTTTACACAAGATTCACTAGTATAAATTTTCTCTATTTAAATTAAGCATTTAGCTCCTTGTGTCCAACTTTCATAACCTCAAGAAATAATATGGAGCACAAAGTGTTCACTACCTAACATAGAAAGATCATTTTTCACCTTAGGATTTAGTTTTACATGAGAATCAAATTTAAAGATTTTGTCTTAAGAAATTCCTAAGCTCAATGTGCCTAATATTTCAAATCCTCAAGCCGGTGTCTTGAGCTTCATAAGAGATTTTAGCGGAAACCTGATTGTAGAGTCAATCATTTACTTCAGGTCAGTCACATTGCAATATAACAAAATTACACCACTTTAATCAACCGGAGACATCCCCATCCTACATTTTTTAGTTTTGACCATTCAATTGTCGTATCCTCTATTTATTTCAAAATCATCTTAGAAGAATTAATAAACCAACAATAGATAATATGTACATTCTCTGCATCATTACATCAACATTTTGATAATTTAGTGAATTTAAAAATCTAGAAGCACCAAATATAGATCTAATGAAGAAAATGGAAATCTAGATAAACTTGGTGCAGCTTTTAAAAAAAAAAGCTAATGAAAATCGCTATTCCGACGACATTAACACTTCTTTTGCCATTGCATTCCACTTAGTTACAATGATATATGGCAAATGGAAATGTCATGACTAAAATAAATAACACTAGTGAGTTATTTTCTTCTTAGAGATGCGGGAAATACTAACTCGATGCACTTCATGGACAATCGAAGATTAAAATTAGGGTGTAAAGAGAATTATACTAAATGAAAGGATTAACATTTCTCTTGAAATTCTACTGAATAATAGATGGATTTAAAATAACTTTTTAGCCAAAATATTTCACATCCATGAATTGTCTTAATGAAGATTTAATGCCTCAATATCTTCATAAATATAGCAGAGCACCACATATTGATTAACCATGTTTGCTTGACTCTGCAAAATACTCCACCGAAATGAAAGTGTGGCGCAAGAACTCCATGGAGTGGGGGCACTACCTCATGCAGGACAGTTGAAGTTGGGTATACAAGCATAGTCAGATCACTGTCAAGGTGAAGCCAAACAAACCTTTCATGTGGCATAGTACTCAAGGAGAAGATTATTGGGATATTTTGGTTCATATTTTTGTTACTATATTTATTACAAGAATTATTGCATATCTTAAAGTCTCCTAAATTAGATATATACTTAAATTTAAAAAAAAAAACTTGATGCACCAGTCAATAGGTAAACGGGTTGTTTTAGCTTGACAAAGAAAGATCTCGTGGCCGGCTGACTATAAAAGCTATTAGGTGCTCAAAGATTCAGATTTATGATAGAAGTGAATGCATGAAGTTTGTGATTCTTCACATCATTGCAAAGTAGTAAGAGGAATGTAGAACAAGTAAACGGGGTGCAATAATTTATATGCTAAGTAAAGAGAGCACAGCCTCAGGTTAAGTGTTAATGTATATCCTATATTTCATTTTTAATTAGAGAAAAATCCTCGAAGTATTAAATTTTAGATCAGAAATCATTTAACTAAGTTTTGTGAAGTTCTTTTATTAGCAAACAACCAAACATGAGCCTCGACCATTCTCTTCTGATCTCGGTACAAAAGATGACAATCCCCATTCTAGTCTGTAGAATTATGATGTTGTCATACGTGGGACTTCCATTCACTTCTAAGTTTATAAATGGTATTTTTGAACCATAAAATTCCTTTTCTCAACCTTTTTAGTTATACTCTTGTTGGTGGATAAATGGTATTTTTGAACCATAAAATTCCTTCAACTTAACCATAACAGATAATAGTTTTCTCAACCTTTTTAGTTATACTCTTGTTGGTGGAACTGCAGTAAATTAGAAACCCTATAAATTTGCAAGCTACAAAGATAGTGACCTTACCTATAAATGGAAAGAGGGGTATTCATAAAGATGGAAGAAACGGAATTGTTTTTATTAAAGATGTTTCCCTAAATTGTAAAAATTGAGATATTATAATAAATGAATAATAAAAAATATAATGAAAAATGTTGCACCTTGAGGCTCTTTTGGTTGTTTGAAGTAAGAAATCATACTTCAAAAAGCAGCAAAGTTTGTTAAATTCGTCTTTGGTTGTATGTAGTTGAAGAGTACATTGATTTTGAACTCCACAAACCTCCCCAAAATTAAAAGACGTTTCTGTTTTTAGACTCAAAAAAGTGAAAACAAAATACTTCCTAAAACATGCTTTGCAGTTACAATCAACTGAATGAGCACCTGGGAAAATCTGAATCCAAAGACATAAATCAGATTTGATAGCTGCTATCACATAGAAATATCTAATGGGTGTCACAGACTTACAGCAAACTTAGACTTCAGAAAGAAGATACGGTACAGTAGGCAATCTTAATTAGAATCCAACTCACATACAAGTAAGTACCATCGTATTAAAGCCACTGCCTTTACCTCAGCAATTTAGAAGCATACCAATGCATAACAATTAGTACGCCCAATTTTTTTTTTTCTGGGTTCATAATCAAACATCATGGAGATACAGAACATGCCAATTCTACACGTTAATTCAACAATAGATACAAATATTGAGATGCGAGAAAAACCAAATACAACTAGATAAGAAGCTAACTCACAATCACTCTATTCTTCAAAAATTTCAAAAAAATAGTTACAAGAAACAAAAACCACAATTTCAGTTGGAATACTGAAAATTTCACAAGAATTTCAACTACATACCTTATGATACACTTATCATTAAATGGATGGATCAGATTGGCACTTGTTCTCTGCTGCACCTCTCTGGCTGTGCTCTCTCTAGACTGCATAGTTGCTTCACTCCAAATGACCTGACCACCATAGCGTCTGACATTCTCTACCTTACATGCTGGGGCATTTTTTGGTATAACAACATAAGCAGGTATTCCACGAAGTTTTGCAGCCAAAGCAACTGCTGCAGCATGATTACCACTATAATCAAGAGAACATGAAAATCTTTGTATAAATGAAGTGGCGAAACCATAATAAAATCAGGATCACAAATCTATTCTTGAGAAATTATAGGATAATTGACCTGCTATGAGTAACAACTCCTTTAGCCGCCTGATCATCTTCTAGCAAAAATATAGCATTTGAAGCTCCTCTAATTTTAAAAGATCCTCTAAAGAAAAAAGTTATTGCAAATCATAAAGAAGATTATATCCAAACTAAAATAAAAGCCACGTAAAAAAATTAGTGGCCCAATAAAATGCATAAAGCCTCTGACCCCTTTTGAAAGCATTCACACTTGAAAAATAACAGTTTTCCCGAAATGGAATCCAAAGATGTGGAGGACAGAACTGGAGTCTTGTGAATGTAGGGGCTGATGCGAGTGTGTGCGTCTTTTATGGAATCAATATCAGCAGCATACTTTTGATTATTCAACTGATTTACTCCCTCCATTATAACATAAATAAGCTGTGATTGTGCAATATTCTCATCATGCTAACAAAAAGATACAGATACATAAAAGCAATGAAACAAAAGAAAAAATATACATCTTTAATTAAATGCTAAGAAAACATCTGCAGATTTGTCAAGCTATCAACTGTTTTTTAAATTTAATCAGTTCAAAAACGAAATACTAGAAAGAAGGGAAATAGCATCTGTTATTTACCTGGTTGTTGAATTTCAAGGAAATCTTTTATTGAACATCATACAGCCTTTTTTTCTTTTGGATAATTAGAAGCAAACCTCATTTACTTCTCTATGTTAGGGAACAAAAGGTGCACAAATGAATGATTATAGAAAATTCTCCTGCTCTTTCATTTCAAATCCAAATGCAAATCTACATGGAAGATGCATAGCAATTAAATTTGATTATTTCTTATTTAGAAGAGAAACATACATAAAACTCAATTCTAATGTATTTCCAAATCTAACACCTAAACTTCAATTTTTACATGCGTGACACCTTACCTATGTATTAAAAGGTGTATTTCACTTTTTAAAAGTTAAAATGGTGGTATTTTTGTTGTAATGTGAAGGATTTGGGTGGTGCAAATGCAAGAAATAACTTTTAGGTGTTAGATATGTAAATACATAAGACTAGGATGGTGTGTTTGTAAATGCCCTTCGCAAGAGTAAGAACAGAACGTGGAGTGTTTTGTGCACCCGGGTATCACAGAGCTTAGTCAGTAATCCATTCTTAGAACTGTATATTTTATGCAGAATAAAGAGTAATAAGGCTATGCAGCAAGTTTCTGATTCATTTATATTTAACCAGGCAAGGACAAAGTATACTTTTTTTAGCAATTTATCTAAAAACATCTATGCTCTTAACAATCAAAATAACTTTTTTCTCCCTGCCCGAATGCAGCGTCAAAGTTCTAAAATGACCTAACTCCACCGGTTCATTAACAGATTCCATTATTTTGATAGAAGGTAATCGCGACAACTGCAGAGTATCCAACGATTGCTTGTAAATTCCGGACAAACAACGAAGTATAACCGTGAAGAAAACAATGATTAATTCAATGTGAAAAGAAACTCATTTAGAAAATCAGACATTCGGAAATCGCGATCCTCGGCATGGAAATCGTTTCAAAACAAGGATTCCTCTTTAAATTGAAGTCGAGAAACGAACCGTGCGTTTTTTGCGGAACACAGTGATGCAGATCACCGAACTCCGCTCAGGGTGATGTTCATGTTCTTTTATCCTATTAAAAGAATTACGGCTATATATATATATATATATTTATGTATGGACATTAATGTGTAAATGAGTCAAATTGGGGAGCGCTGATTGTGTACGGACACCGCACGTAATTTATGCGCGGTGTCCAGTTTGAACCACTGAAATAGATTTTTTTTATTTTTTTATTGTTTGAGTGGGCCCACTCTAAATTTTTTATATAGTCTAAAATTTTGCATGCGGTGTCTGCACGCAATAATTTTTTCAAATTCGGGTGGGGTTATTTTTTTATTTTTTTTAATTCAGGTTATTTGAATATTTTTTGGGCTTAAATTAGGCATGTGTTCTGCTTACTAGAAATTTTTTTGGCTTTCAAATAGGAGCTACTTTAAGCTTTGTCCATGGAGTAACAACAAAATAAAGGGAGAACCACGAACAAACTAGTCGGTTGAATCTCCTAACATAGAAATATCCTGGTGGAGACTAGTTATGTTTTTATAACAAATATAATATGTCGTAGATATATAGAAAATAAAGAACCATTATTGCAGAGTAGTCAGAATCCACAAAATGCAACATAAATGAATTGAAAAAGAGGTTTCATAATGATTTAGAGCTATGATCATGCCAATGTTCAATCTATTTCTTTGATATCCAAAAGTTGAAATCATGACAATTGATAAAAAAAGCCAACCTAAAATGTATAATAAAAATATACATAACAAAATCATGCCAATGTTCAATCTATTTCTTTGATCTCAAAAAATTGAAATCATGACAATTGATAAAAAAAACCAACCTAAAATGTATAATAAAAATATACATAACAAATGTGATACTAAAACATGAAAGCATTATAACAAGAAAGATAATATCTTCAATCAAAGACAACCAGCGCAAAACCAGAATCATGAAAAATTCCTCTTATTATCATTAATATGGATAATAGTCGCGACTTAATGCATATAAAGTTTAGCAATATTACTAGAAATGTCACCTTTAAATTTTCATCTCTTGCTTTTCTCTTTAACAATAAATCTAATTTGTGTAAGATCACATCTTCTTGTTCACGAACTTTCCTAATAATTCTAAAATTCCTCTCCATCCAAAGAGGAGGTAATATGTACAGCCACATGAAATCTTTTTTAGAAACTTTGTAGGTAACGGTCCCAACATGAACCATCATTGGACTAAAGATGCATCCATGGTGGGAAAAAAACAATTGGGGATACTACTAATATGAATGGAGAAGGAAAATTAACATTCTACGAACAAATAATACTGACTTCAAGGCCATTATTGCATATAAGATACTTGGGAGAAACCATGATGAACCTAGTTAATAAAATATCCCTAGTCTTAGGACCTCCAATCAGAACTTTCCAAATAAAAGTAGCAAATTTAAGAATGAAGAAGGAAAATTAACATTCTATGAACAAATAATACTGACTTTCAAGGCCATTGCATATAAGAGACTTGGGAGAAATCATGATGAACCTAGTTAATAAAATATCCCTATTCTTAGGACCTCCAATCAGAACTTTCCAAATAAAAGTAGACTTTGAACCAAACCAGTTTGAGGCAAGAAGTTTCAAAATGGCCTTCATATAAAAAGCAATAAGTGGTGTATGTGAATAGTAATCCTTCCCCATCCAAAAACATTTAATTAAAAAATCAGCAAGCATAATGATTTATGACCATGTTCATATCATGACTGCAAATTTAAATGAACAAACTTTGAACCAAACTAGTTTGAGGCAACAAGTTTCAAAATGGCCTTCATATAAAAAGCAATGTGATGTATGTGAATAGTAATCCTTCCCCATCCAAAAACATTTAATTAAAAAATCAGCAAGCATAATGATTTATGACCATGTTCATATCATGACTGCATGCATTCAATAGGTGTATAGTGGTTGAAGGGGATATGCCATCTATTATTCCTGATAGCATCAGAAATAGTGAAATTATTTTGGGAGGAAAACCAAGCGAGAACTTGGCATTCATATTTCCTAAAAAGTGACAATTCATTAATTATAAAGTTTAGGTATTTGATGCCTAAATACTTATGAATTAAGGGGGATTTGTAAATACCCCCAATTCTAGGGGTGTAAACGAGCCGAACACGAGCGAGCCATTTCATA